TTCATAGTAAATTTTATGAAGCTAATCTTGCAACAATCGTTTTACAAGTAGCGGGAGTCGGGTCCCTCTCACAATAAGCAACAGAAGGAGAGAGTCGAGCAGGAAGCTGTAAGACAGGGGGTTAGATTTGGGGAAAACAAGTCGAGACGGCAGATGGTGGCCGTTGTCACATACCTTCAGACATCTGCTCGCCTCGGCAGATGGTTGGGTGTTGTTGAAAGGACAGGTGTTACCTATATTTGGCCTCCCCTTCAGACAGGATCTCGGGCAGTTCAGCTGGAGTTGCACGTGGATATCATCTAATTTACTTTCTTGTTGGTGTTGCTCTTATGTATATCAAAGCAGGTGTGTAGCATACTCGGCGCTACCTGTCGTTCGAGGCAGCTGAAGAATTCGCTAATTATACATGCTACAATGTAAATTGCGTGCAGAACTCGCTCCTCTGTCTCGTTTCGTTTATTTAGCCAAAAAAATGCGCTTTGGAAAGCCTTAGGTGGATCCAATCACGGATCGGAAACCTGTCAATCACAGTGTATTCTGACTCACGTCCTCATCTCACCTAGCAGGAGGGAAATTTTGGAAGTGAGTCAGCCCAGAGGGTGGAAACAGCCAGACATCAAAGCCAACCAGATGTTAACGAGGGAAGCAATTCGTCACGAGTTTGTACCAAAAATCGACTCGACTCCTTCGAACGTACGCCCTAAACTAATAGGGGAGTAATTCCGATAAATCTAACAACATACGGGAGGATGATACTTTAAAGGAGGGAAAAATAGTTAGATGTTCGACGATTACGTGGGTAATCAGCCGGGTCACGTGATTGCAAATCGAATCCAGTAAATTGGCTTTTTGGATAACTCGACCACGTGACCGCAATCTTCTTTTTTTCCCTCGAATTCCCCAGTGATTCGCGTGCTTCGTGAAAATTACGACAGAAAGTCGAAACCAAAATTCAGTCTGTCTCTCTTCAAAAATTCTATCCGTGACGAAATATTAATGGAATAGAAAACTTATTCTACAAAAAAATATTTTCTTGTCCATTTCTTTTGTAAAATTTCCGGAAAAAAATAAAATAAAACTATTCTACTCCCATGTACTTTTATAGAATGAGCTTCAAGTCATAACATTAATTAACATTTATATTATTCTCTGTATTACGAAATAAATTCAAAATATCATTACATTTCTTGATATACAACGAGCAAAATCGAACTATAATAGCATTTTATGAAATAATGACATAATATATTGAAAATAAACAGTAAAAAAAACTAAGCATTTAACGCGAACAGATGGAGATGCTCTCTGCTAGAGAGGAAAATTACATACAAAGAAGAGCAGTTCGTGTATTTTCATTAGCCACGCAGCCCACACCTGGCAGGGGGTTAATGGTCGCCTATCCTCTAGGGTAAATACACATTTTTATACCCATATCGGCCTTCTCAAAAGCATAACGGTGTAGTTAATTATGCTACATCTCCAACATGGACACTGCCTATTACTAAAAATCCTATCATAGGTGGAAATGAATAATTTTTTAATAATATTTGGGCAATGACATCGTGTTTCCCAAATTTATTACCTGAGTGGTACCGGGTGGTTATTCATGTACTACCTTAGGCGGATTGGTAATGTTACTATGGTTGTAATTATCATTCCTGCCCGTCATTTGCTCCGATAATGATGTTTAACATGATTGTTAACGCGATTAGTGGAGTTATCGATATAAATCAACCCTCAATAAATATTTGATCGAGAATTTTTCCGGCCTATGCGAGTTACGTGATTATCGACTTTCGGCAATTTTAAGTGCAATAACTTTTATGCACATTTATTGCAGAAAATAAATAAAGAAAACCGTTTTCAGCTTCGTATTTTGATTGATTTGTTATCCAAGATTGCATTTGTATATAAAATACTTATATATATATATATATATCTTCCATTATGTTGCATACAATATTTTGATCCTATGAGAATTACATTTATTGTTTTTCTCTGCTTCTTGTACTTGAAAATGCATTTTCTTTAAGGATTTTTATTATAAATTACTTTATGCTCGAGTGGGAAAGGAAAAGATGATGTGTAGACAGATTTATGGACTATCTCTAACGTATATAATCGTTCTATCGTTTCTTTTCGCCATAAAAAAATGGTGAAAATATAGAAAAAGTAACAGTTATAGATGCAGAAAATAGAAAGAGAAGTAGGAGGAAACAAAAATCAATTAAGTAGCGAGTCGTCGTTTACTCCATTGTCACGTTCGTTTTTCATCACTTATAAAATTTAATTTTACACTTTATTTATAATGTTCAAATTATTTTCAACTAAATTCTGATTGAAGTAATTAAAACATTTTATAAATATATTAATTAATAAATTGAATTCTTTACAAGAAAGTATGCAAATTTATACTCGGCATGGGTACACGAGTAGGGGAACAGGGAGTGTAATTCCTCTAAAATTGGGCAAAGTAATAGCGTTGTCCTGTACGTCCATCCCATCCAGATTTTTTTTTTTGGAAATTCGAATAAATTTACTTTAAAATTGAACTGAAATATAACTTCTTATCCGTTATAGAGTTATTGATTTTTGTGAAAGGTCACGAAAAAAAGCAATTTAATAAAGTTTACTTTTTAAAAAAAACAACTCTAAACTGACAAACATATCAGTTTACGGATTGATTTATAATTTATATGTTGTATAAATATAGAAATTCTCAAGATAGTTTGAAGTTAAATTTTGGGATGTTATATATATATATAAATAATAAAAAATATTTAGGTTTAGATCGATATTTACCGTGTATCAGTTATTAACTTTCTGTTTATGTAGTTCAAGGTGAAATGCAATATAGGCCTATATTTGTATAGCTTTTTTATATATAAATTCTTATTTACTTACACGCGAAAGCAATTTTTTTTTTTTAAACTCAATCTTCTTCATTTACATGCTACACTTAATTTCTGAATATACCTCTTAGCGTTATTTTGGTTTGAATGAACAATCTGTCTCGATAAAATTATTTTTATTATTATTTTTCTTTTTCTTCTTTATAAAAAGAAGATAAATTTACAAATTTTCAGTCTTTAAGAAACGTAAAAATTGCCCGAGAGAATATATAAGTTTGAATAATACTTCGATTTGCAAGTTTGCAAAATTTTAATATTACTTCTACACAGCAAACTTTGTAATAAAATATATATATTAAAAAAAATTATAATTTAAGCCCCCAGGATGTGTTTTATTTTATTTTAATCTTTTTTTCCTCCCCTCTTCCTTCTCCTCCTCCTCCTCTTCCTCCTCCTCCTCCTTCTTCGTCTTGAAAATGTAGTTTTAAAGAGGAGAAGATTGTGGAAATGTTGATAGAAAAGGAAAAAGGGAAAATAGTTAAATTTTGAAAAATTTATTTCCTGGGTGAAATTGTTCAAACAAATGTTAGTAAGTTTAACCGTGAATCAACAACACGACTGTGAATGAGTCAACTGTCCACAACTGTCAACATTTGTCAACTGGCTAACACAAACAACCAAGAGAACAGTTTATAAGTGCTTGTTCTGAATTCCCTATCAATTGCGGCGCTCCTGAAAACTCGAACGAAAATTGAAATTAACAATTATTGCCTTTGCTTTATTTTCTCTCTTACTATTTCGTCCCGAAAGAAGATGAAAGAAAATGCAACTTTAGCAAAACTTGCTGACCGGATATTACGTGAAGGGCCCATCTTCGTTCAGTTTGTATATCCGTGAAGAGCATCTATTACCGAATACATCTAGGAAATCTGGAAAGATAAGATGTAATTGTGGGTTATAAATGATAAAAATTGCAGTAATTATTATTGGAATTTTCTTTTTTCTTTCGAGTTCATTGCTACTCCATCGTGATTAATAAACAATAGAATCCTTCCTTTACCGCTTCGTCTTACAATTCAAACTCAATTAACTGTAGCAAGTATATATATATATATATATATTAGTAAACTTCCGTATTGCAAAATAGTAATTTACTCTTTTTTTTAATTCTTTCTCGTACATGAAGTCTGATTGTAAATGGCTGCGTGTTATCTGTAGCAGCAGATTGCCCCGATTGCTACATGTGGGCTAGATTTCTCCCTCCTTTGCTAAGGGTCGTTGGCAATCAAATTACCTCTGTTGGCTTCCCCTCTACAACCTCCGATGCCTCACTCCTCTCTATTGAGAAATGGTTGCTACCTTCCACCTAAGGTTTCTTTGTACGGCTCCCTCTCAATATTAAAAAGAAGGGAAGGGGGAAAAGTTCAAAAATATACATTTATGAATTTTTAATAAATGCACAATTTATCGGTCACGTGCTCGATTTGCATGCATGCGGCCATTCATCAATTCTCTGTCATTAGCAACGTGCGGGACGTCATTGTCATTTGTTAGACTTAGTCACCCTCGTCGTTTGATAATCCCATAAAAAAAAAAATTTAAATACTATAAACCGAGTTTTAAATCCTTTATCTCAATTGACTGCAGAGTCTATAGGAAACCAATAGGACCAATAAAAAAGAGATTTGGAGTTTGATCATTCGAAATGTTTATCTTCCCTCCAGTCTGATATTTCGAAAGGAATGGATAAAGTTTAATTAAGACGACGAAGCTTCGAGTTTCATTCATTTTAATACACAGCTCGAACTTTAAAATAGTAATCTTCATTGAGAAGAAATATCGCCACTAGACATATCCTTTGGGGTAACAAATGACTTTAGGTGACAGTTGAATAATGATTTCGACTTTATAGTGTTGATATATTGGATTAAATTTCTAGTAAAAATATATATTTTTCCACGATAATCGATGCTGAATAAACATTTAAAAAAGGTATAAAAAAAAGCACAGTTAATCTAATTTATCTATTTAGAAAGTGTGGTGTCGAGAACGCTTCTATTGTCCGCTCCACCCTAAGCCGCTCTCCCCCCCTTTAGGTTAGTGGAATGGCACGCTCCACATCCGCTTCGGATCCGCCACTGTGGACGGCAGACATCAATCCGACGGAGCAGTTAGGGGAGAGACTTCATTGAGCTGTGACGGGTGCTGTCGAGTCTGGATGGTGAGCATGTTGTGTGTGTGCCAGCAGTGGGCCTACACCGAACTTCACTGATTGGTGAGTGAACCATGACTTACTTACATTCTCCTATAGTCCCGTTAATGAGTCCGAGTTTAAATTACGTGCGTAACGCAAACGTAACAACGCGTTTAAACGTCGTGTTGTAATCGTAGTTATTTACGCACTTTACGAATGTTATGCCCCAGAAGTTCCCAGTCTTGATGTGTCATACACTCTGTGGCTTCTGTCATAAGCTACACTGTTCGGCCGGTATGACACCGAGTTATACTAGTTGCACCGCATCACACCGAATTTCCTTCCATTGCTAAACGAAGAGTTATAATAACTTAGACGAGGTTATAACATAAAACACTAATTAAATAGATGATAATTCTCATCTTGTTAGTGGTAAATTTCAATTTTAAGAGTAGTCTTCGGATCACCAGACCGTATAATGGACAACAGATGTCGAACCGTTTTATCAACCGCTTGACGTCACACCACACACAAACATATATATATATATTTTTTAACCGTTATAATTATTATTCATAGTTTACTGACCTAAATATTACTTTTGTTTGTCATTAACGTGTCGTATCAATGTAAAATATTCGATACAACGTGTTATAATTACAATTGTTTCTTTAATTCCATACGCTGTCTGGCGGGGAATTTTTTTTCCTGGTTTTTATTACCCGCCTCGATGTATGCCCTCCAAAAAAGTGATTCAGATGTCAAAATATGTTGATAGAAAAAGTAACTTTCTTATCAAAGTTTCCTCTTTTTTTTTTATTTTGGCTGCAGCCAGGCTGATCTCTAGTTTTCTTCAGGGTGCCATTCTGGATCGCATTACACTTTAAGTGTGTGTTAGTCGCACAGAAGCTCGCCTCCTTTCTTTGGCTGTAGAGCAAGTAAGGAGAATAAACTGACCATCCTTTGGTTTCCTTTAAACACGCTTGTTTTACAGTTACTGCCTTTTCAATCTACAAACTGCACTTTTATAGCGCGAAAGACGTATAAAGGTTGTACTTCGTATACAGCTCACGTATTTCTTATTTTAAAATTAATTTCAAAATTTATAAGAGGATAGATAATTGGTCGTGCTTGTAATAATTCTTACGTAATTAAAAAAAAATTTTTGTTAAAAATTGATTTTCGGGTCATTTTTATTCTTAAAAAAATTGACCCGATCGATATTCGATATAATTATGTATTCGATAAGAATGACATCATCCTTGTATTTAGTCGAATTTTCGACTTTACTGATCGATATTCTTACGCTCGTTTAATGCCGGGGTTCTTTATAATTCGTTAGAGGCTTATCAGCGCCGGTCATGTGACCGGCGGTGGGTTTGCAATTCGAATTTGAATCCTGGCAGCATTTGAATTTCTGATATGCGAATCACGCTCGTGTTTGGTATCGAGTATACCTCGAGGGAGGGGGGGGACTTTCTCGTCAAACCAGTGAATCCTGTCAAAGAACTCGGCAGCTGCTCCAAAGGTTCTCTCCAACTGTTCCTTCTTGGAAGTGTCGTAGACCGGATTGTCTGCACCTATCGGCTCCGAAAGGATACTAACCCGGTCACCAGTACTTTAACAATAATAATAATAAATATCTGAGATATTTATATGCTATCTTTCATCCTAACAGCTTATTAAAGACCTTCGGCTTTTGCCTAAACGATCCTATTAAGTGGGAAAAAACTATTAAAGACGTATCCATACCTGCGGGTTATCGCTTTAGCTGCGTTCTTCCTTTAAGCACTGTCAACTTTCAATGAAATTCACAGTAGCTAAGATTAAATATCATCTTTTATTTAAAAATTTTATTAACATCAAATATTTTTGTTTCCTTTTACTTCATTTTTACGTGAGTTTGTCGTAACGATCAATTAGAAAATCCCGTATAAAATCGGTAAATTGATCGAGTAAATATTAAATATAACACATTTTAAACCGTAAATACAACTTATTTACGTATTAACACGATACAAAACCGTATAAAAAATCAAAAACGTCAATTTTTCATTTTACTTCTAGAAAAAAAGTAAAAGGAGTAGAGTGATATTAAGTGGTGTATTTACCAGCCTACACTATAACATTCTTCCAACATTCACCCCAACTTATGAAGTTGCTATGGTAACAAACACCTTTATTTATTATATATCACCTTAACTACCGGTATATCTCTCTACAAAGTATTAAAAAAAATCGTTATCAGTTAAACCACAAGATTCCGATCAGTAACTTAATGCCACCAGAACAATAAAAAAAAGAAGGAAAGAGAAAAATTAAGTAGCCTATTCCCAATCACACGGCGTACAAGACCGTTATTCAGTTGCCTTTATCGCCTTAGCTTTAAATGACCCTAACATGGGATCCCATTGGAATAACGAAAACGTAACTAGCCTTTTTCACGCAGACTTTAATTACAATTATAATCATTATGTACTTTTTTTTCTATTGTTTTATGGGGGGAAGAACCGTTATCGAACCCATAATCGTTAGAAACGGCGTTTTGATTAAATCTCGAAAAAGTAAAAATTTTCTAATTAAAAAAATATATATATATATATATATATATTTCACTTCTTTTCCTCACTCCTTCTTTTTACGTAGATAACTTTAAAT